TTGGTTGGTTTTGATTTAAGTATAAACTATTTAGTATCTCCCATATGACTGAGTGAGGAGTCTTATGATACTATTTTCTATATAGGTCTATTACATATAGGTCCTTGTACCTCACTCATCACGTAGTATCTGAGCATCTTCCAGTAGTGCATTAAACCACGTGACTACACAACTGTCATGTTGTTTATTCTTTAATTTTCTTCCCAGGAGGAGAAGTGTGTGGAGGATCTTGCTTTGGTCGGATTTTAAAACTATGCATGTTGCTATGAATTTATGTTAGAGAAGGCAAGGTCAAAGAAATGTGATTTGCACTTGGAGCAGCAGGTAGTGCGGTGTGTGATGGTCCTTAGTTCCTAATGGAGTTCATTCCACAGTCTCTGACCTGCCCCTGAGAAAGTTCTGTCTTTAGCACAGATGAGCTTTACCCTTATTGTGGGGTTTTATATCCCTCATGGACATTGACTCTGTAGCTGAAGTCCTTCTCTGTCCACTCATGTACCTTTCCCACCTCCCTCACTCTTCCTGACTCTTCCAGTTGGGACCATCCCTATGGTAATTGCCTGATTGGAATGTTGGGGCAATGCCACATTTCTGAGATAAATGAAACCTCCCTGTTCAGTGCTGCAGTCTGAAATTTTTGCTCCCCCCTCCTCACAGAAAATGGGCTTTGGTCTCATGAAATAAGTGTATCTAGCTCTAATAGCCTCACTAACTATCATGCCATTCACATATATTTTCACTCTTTAGCATTTATACTGAAGATGATTAAGAGATAATTACTACATGAAACAATGTAGCTAACAAACAAGTAAACTTATGCACATGTACCTTTTCTATTTATTACACTCAAACTTCAATATGAATTAGGAAAAACTGAAATGTAATCCCAAATTTTTCAAATCCAGTATTTAAGACAAAACAAAACATACTCATTTGGATCTAGTAGGCATCAGTAAAAGTATATACTGTTATTGGAATTCCTTGTATGGTTCTTAGTGCTTTGCTATACATATTGTATATTTTACATGAGTTCCAGCATACTGATCCCTGAATAATTTAAATAAAATACAAACAAATTTGTTTGAGTTAAGAGACAGAACTTAAAATATCTTACATTTTGTGTTTACTTATCTTTATATAAGGTATGATAATTATTTATAGTGACTAATATGTAGGTTATCAAAATGAATGTTCACATGTTACGTATGCAATCTATGTATGGCCTAAACAGATATATTAAAGATGTCGAAAAGTAAGTTGAATAGTGAAAACCCCCCACATCTTCATATTTTGTAAATGTAAACAATTGTTAATTACAGTATAAATATCAAAGTGATATTTTAAATTTTAGACATTTTTTCCTAGGCTGACAATTCTAGGAAATTTTCAGAATTTATGCCACTGTATTACCATAGAATATATAAATGAAGTAAAAATATACCTGATTAAAGTAGTACAAGAGATTTTGCCCTTGTTCTACTTCCTTTTAATTGGCTTTGTTTCTTACCATAATTATTGTTATTATAACCATGACTCTGAGTATGATCCTGCAGTATCTTGCTCATATGATTAGTTCCGAATCATGTAAGTAGTGTAATTGATGTCTGTGGGACTACTCAGGAAAATAAATATTATTTGTCTGAGTATGTATTTGCAGGATTGTGCTCAGCAAGAAGATGGGTCGTAAGATAAAAGTAATCAATAAAGAGAAAAATTTCAAGTGCAGGCTAAATTTGGTTGCTTTAATTTTATGGCCTCAGTTGGGGTTTTGGGTGCTCAACACCTACGTAGATCTGACTCCAGGAGACTCAAAATTAATGGATACTTGAAAATTACAGTGTAATTTTCTACCATTGGGCTTGAGTCTCTTTTCAATTTCACCAGCATAAATTGGGTGTCAATACCACTGAAGTTAGCAGAGTTACACTGGTATGACGTGTAAGTGACAGGAGAATCAGGCCTATTGAACTAGATTCTGCTTTCATGTACATGAGTGTAAATCCATTGGCATATAATTGACAATAGTATCTGCTCTGTTGCATTTAGATTGATACCAGGAATGTGCAGAAGTGTTATCTCTGTCGAAGAAGAGTGTTATCACTGTTCCAGTAACCTGCCAATAAGAATACCACTGTTACCATCCAACGTTCACAGGATGTGTGTGTGTGTGTGTGTGTGTGTGCGGGGGAGGGGAGGGAATCTGAGTAGTGTTGTATTTTTGCTTAATGTTTCCTAAGGGTTACTAGTGGACAATTAGGACAGTCCTAAATAAATCAGAAAAGCTGGTTATCTTGCAAACAGGGTGATACTCATCATGTTCTTGGTTGTAGTTAATGCCATCTCGTGGCCCAAATTAGTAGGGGTGCTGAAGAAAAGTGAGCCTTATCTCCTCATTCTGGAGGGCAAGCTTATCTCCATAGCAACACGCCTGATCTCAACCAGCCAAAGGGGAGGGAATCCCAAGGTCACCAGGCTCTCCCACAGTATGTTGCAGCTGAACCACCTTTAGCTGGCCAGAAATTTCATTTTGATTGACTAGAGTTTTCATAACCTTTTTAAAATAAGTGGTACTCAAACTGCGATCTCTATCGCTTGATATATTAACAGAAGGAGGTCCAAAACTATTATAATACATGTATTAATAATATTGAATCACCCAACAACAGCGAGTGAATATTTAGTTACGAAAATCTACCTTTTGAGGAGATACCGGGAAGTCACATTTTTACTCCTATGAAAATAATATTTGTATCACCTCTTACGGAGCTATAGTATATATCTTTCAGTGCTCCACATACAGTGGCATATTGTAAATAACAGTCTAGAAAACACATTACCCTCTTGGATGATTTAAATGTTTTGTTTTCTCATTTTAACATTGCACTTTTGTCCATGGCATTTCTGTCTAAATCGGGGTCTGAAGGACTGATTTTGATCTCACACTTGTATAAATCAGGAATAACTCCACTGAAGTTGATGGAGTTGCACAGTGATTAGGTAAAGTTGGCAAATGGGATTAGAATCAGGCCTTCCAAGTGTTTTACTTTCCTTGTTTTGTTCTTTTGTGTAAGGGCTTAGACATATGTGTGTGATGAGGAGAGGAATTTTCTGGGTGTGTTCTTGAAGACATATCAACTGCAGTGTGCATGGGACACATACAGTTTTATAGATTATTTCACAAAATTAATGTAGCCACTTTATTACTGTTGACTCCCTGAAGTGTTTCCATTTAAACATCTTGTCTATTCCTATTCAGATTCTGTGCCCCTGTATCTAATTTTAAATAGCCTCTGAGGCTATCCCTTATTCCGAGGACAAGGAGGATGAAGATGGAAAAAAGACTGTCAGATTTGGCCAGGAAGAGGTCACTATTGACCTTAGTTAGGGATGCCTCAGCAGAATATAAGGGGTGCAAGTTGATTGCAAAGAGTCAAGGAAATAGTAGTGTGGAAATTAACACAATGTAAGTGGAACTTGGATGTAAAGAAGATGACGAAAATGGGGTAGCAGCTGGAGAGACGGGAGAAGTCAGGGGAGAGTTTTTTAAGGTAGTTGAGACAGTGGTATATTTAAGGCTCAGGTAAAGCAGTCAAATGAGATAGAATTTCAGAATGAATTAGAGAAGATGGATGAGGGAGAGTGTAAAGGTCAGGAGGCAATAAGAAATAAGGTCAAAAGATTGGAAAGGGTATTGGAGGGACATTTAGGTGTTGGAGATCAGGGTGAAAGAGGAGATAGCAAAGAAAGAGGAAAGCTGGAGCAGGTGGCGAGTAGAATGAAAAGTTGGAGGATAGCTCATGGTTGATAGTGTCCAATCTTTTCTCTGAATAAATTTGCAAGAATTTGTGCTGAGCAGAGTCAGTGGCTTTGAGGAAATTATTGCAGGTGGAGAGGCAACAAAAAGGGCGAAGTACGTTTTTCTTGTCCCAACCCTTACTGGAATCTGTCATTCTCCATTCTTGGGGCTGCATGAAGGGGGTATGCTAAACTCTAGTGCTGTCATAACTCTCATTACGTGCTCAGCCCAATTGGTTTGGTCTAAAATTGGCAGATGTGGAGCTTCTGAGAGGTGGAGTTCCTTTACACTTCAGCTTTTCAAGCGGCTCTGCAGCAAGCCATGGTGGAGCTTTATTCTCTTTAGATTTTTGTGGGGAGATGAGCTTTTCTATAGTGAGATCAGCTGCATGTTGCAGCATCCATGATTTTCCAAAGGTTATATGGTTAGGGAAGACCTGAACATTTTTATTTATATTGGGTTCTCGGGTGGGGAAAATGTTATCTATCAGTGGCTGATGTTATTGTTTATAGAGGCACTAAATAGATATAGAATTAGCTGAGGGATTCTTTTGAACATGGATTCTGGTGAACTTGCTCTGTTACCCCTCTTTGGGATCCCTTAAGAACACCCCCCAGTCTGTCTTAGGACTACCACCAACCACTGCTTGGGGCTAGGTTACTAGCTGAAATCAGTTCAAATTAAGCTCATTGCAGCAACGCAAAAACTCATACTCATGTCTGGCTCTTCTGCCACACACGGAGCTCTTATGGGAGAGAGGGGAGCCCTGCCAAACCCTATAGTAAAGGGCTCCTGGTTTTTAGCCCTTAAAGGAACAGTATCCTGGTTTTTCCTGTTGTCAGGACCTCAGCATTGAGCACAGGCATGCCAGGTCCTTAGATGGCTTCCTTAGCCACTGTGCCACAACAATGCACTGAATGGCTGCTCTTGGCCAACAGCCTTAGCGCTAAAGGTCTGCAGGCACACAGCAGCTACACCCCTGATTGGATGGACAGACAGCACTCTCATTGAGTGCCTGCACTATATAAAGGCCCCAACAGGAAGAGGAAGCTGTCTGAGCAACAGACCATTGCCTGTTGGTTGCTGCCTAGACTGCCTTGCCTCTGCCTGTCCCAACATTGTTGCCATGTTGCTTTGTATAACCATACCTTGCGACCTTGCCTCCCCAACCCATTGACCTGACCACTTGTATTGAATCTTACAGCTACCGACCCGAGCAAGAACTCCAATGATTGCCCTGGACTGCCTCCAAAACGGACTGATCTGCCAGCTTCCTGATGGCTCGTGCACCCTTGACTACTGCTATGGATCATCCCCTTAGCCTCGGCCACCAAGCATTACACCCATCCAACTATTAAGTCTCTGGGACTGCTTCCTCTCTTCCTGCTACAAGGCCATTTGTTTATTCAAAGATCCCTGGAATGGGTTCTTCTGGCCCTCTCTGGCATTAATAGCCAGTATACCCTTTTACAGGGAGAATTTAAACACTACTCTAGAGTGTCATAAACATAAACACAAAAGCATTGTGTTAGAGCATGAGAATGAGAAAGTGAAACTGACACAAACCAGGGAAGTGAAACTTTCAGTCTACTATCATTATCAAAGCTGAGTAAAATGTAAAAAAGTAAGTGGTATTCATTCACTTTTAGTATTCTAAGACAGCAGTTTAACAACTATGGTTTGTGAATCACTGACTGCATGGTGCTGGTGCTCCTTGTTTCCAGTTTTTAAATTGCATTAAAAGACAGTTAAACATAGCAAATGATTTTCTAATATTAAATGTCTGTGTAAGCAAATTGCTGTAGTTCCACAGGGATGTCATGCTGGAGTGAACTGAAGAGGAGGTGGTCTGTATAGTCATGAATGGCCGAGAAGTGATCTCTCAATTTAAGATGTGGTTCACATTGCAAACTAATTTGAAGATAGCAGATCCAAATTGTTATAAATGATAGCAGGCAAGTATCTTATTATTTTGCTGTAAATATGTTTCTTATTTTGTACAGAGGATGAAATGCCCAAGAAAAATACTTATCTGATGAACTTATCATAATTGAAAATTAAGAGAAATAACCTATTATTTTTAATGTTAAAAATTAGATAGACATGTATAATATTACAGCTGCAACCTTCCAGTCAGTTCCATTTGGTATTATTGCGTTTAAACAGATTCATGGGCACAGTGTGCCAGTCTGGGGAGCAATTACAACTATTTGATTTTTATCAAAACATTTATATTGAATAATTATTTTTTTACGTTTAATTAACAACACATAAAAAGCTTGATATTTTAATAAAACATCAACATTTTGCACTGCAATGCATTAGGTCCTGTTCAACTGCCAAGTAAACAGTGAATGTGTACAGTGTGGCAACTGTTTGACATGTCAGTTGTTTAATCATTAGAGCTAGACAAATACTGCAAACTATTTTTCTGTGAATATTTGCTTGAATTTAATGCTCATGCCCCTTTTGTACTTACTTTCAACAAAGACTTGAGCAAATAGGCTTTACTTGTACAAATATTAATGGAGGGTGAAATTCTATCCTGTGCAGAGAAGCAATGCAAAGTCCTATTTGGGTGCAAAAAGTGGTGTATATGCCTCTTGGGTTGGCTCTCTGCACAAAGGTGGATTTCACCAGAAATATAAATGGTCTGGACAAAGATACAGTGTGACCATGCTTTTCACAATTAGGACCACACACATGTAATCATTTTGTGTCAATCACTGTGGTGATGAGAGAAATTTGCAGACCAATGAATACAGTAAACTAGGTATATTTTAGTTGGGATGATACCTGGTGCAGTACACTAGGGGCAATTAAATGAACCAGACGAGGTTCTGACTGTACCTTTCTCAGTGGCTTATATACACATGAAAGAAAATTAAACTTGAGCTCAGTTTCCAGCCAATACATTTGACAGAAAGCTATTTTTTTTTACAAGTGTGATGCCTTGGGAAAGATCTGTGTGTTTAAGAAAGAAAAATAAAATAAAAAGTTCTAAATTCCCTAATCCTATTTATCTGCTATTACTCCCTAAGAGTCTCAAAAGCCATTGAAAGTGCTATGCTCATCCAGGCAGGGGGCAGATATAACACCATCTGACTAATCTGACCAATCACAGTTAAACCGTGATGTTCATATTTCTACTCTCCTCGTCTATCCTCGTCCAAAACTGTTTGTAATCAATCTGAAGAGAAATTAAGTATGGAAAAACTGAGGTGAATAAATTCAAGAAAATCTGGATCTGCTCTTGGGCATTCTGTAAGCATTAAAAGTGGTTAGTTTAGTTTAATACATCGTTAACTGTCTATTCATCTCAGTCTAGTGATTACTAACAATTACATTAAATATTGAAGTGTTTTAAACAGGTGATGAGAGTTATAGTATTAATTTCACAAGTGTCCAACCACCACTTTTGTGTTAGATTCCCACGGGGAGTGGTAGAAGACCCAACACTTAATTTAAACCTATGCTGGACAATGTACTTAATGATGTATGGTCTGTTTATATTTAATCCCTTATATTTAAGTGACCGAAATTAAATTCCAGAATAAATGTTTGAATGATAATAAGCAATTGATTGAAACAGACAAAAGGCAAGGAATCTAATGGAAGGCTAATGCTTCTCCAGGAGTTCATAACGTTCTGTGGGAGGTGAAAAGGGAGAAGTGGGGAAAAGGGAAAAAATAAGAGGAACTATGATGTGAGGCCCCAATCTTGGAATTTCCCATTAACTTTTCTCACTGAGAAGCAAACTTTAGCATTATTTATTTGTAACTTTTTATAATTTCCCCTTTCTGAGGGAAAATAAAAGAAAATATTCACAAGAAAGATTTTAAAATTTCATACTTTTATCTATTGCCTTCCAATTTATGGTCTCTTGGGCAAACGGGCAGTTTTTCAAAACATGTATCATGTCTCTGACAGACTGGAACAGCTTGCAGTCTTTCCAGTCTAGTGGTTTAAATCTCTTTTTTTTGTGTGTGGTATCTATATCTATATCCTCTATATCGATATTAAGTCATATTATTTAAGTCCTAGACTGGAGAGGGTTCTGATTTATCATGCATTTAGATGTTTAGCTAAAGTGTGACAGTGTTGCAAGCAAAAAATTTTCAGCAAACATGTCAATAACATTTACTGCAAATGTGCAGTAGCCAATTGTTAACTTGCAATATCTTTGGCTCTGCAGTAATAATTAATAAAACACCAAATGCAAATTGGCCATGTTATGAATGAACTGCTTGTTAAATTTCATTTCCTGCATCAAAGTAATTATATCAATACAAACTCAATATCTGAAACACTTTTTTTTTAGTGCATGGGTAAAAAGGTCCAAATGGATTTTTCCACTAAAATATTCTTGTGTACATGGGGAAATTGACTGGCATAACTATAGTGGAATAAGCTATTCTACAGCAGAGGAATTATTCTGAAATAAAGTCACTTTTTTGCCAGAATAGAATGTCCACACAGGGAGTTATTCTGACACAGCTATCACAGAATAGTTTATTTCGTTGTAACTATCATGGTCAATATTTGTGTCTAGACAAGTTACAAAGAATATGGTCTTGAGCTTTAACACTTCATGCCATGATGTTGCCTAGAACAGTGGTTCTCAAACTTTTTTTTTTCCCGCAGACCACTTGAAAATTGCTGAGGGTCTTGGCGGACCACTTAATGATCTTTCCAAATGTTGTTTGTATCATTAACTAACTATTGTAAAGCGCTTTGGATAAAAGCACTATATATATTACGTTTATATAAATTATATATAAATTATTATTACGTTTATATATATATACGTAATAATAATTAGCTATTTTTGTTCTACAAATAAAAGCACACAATTCATATTTTCATATCAATAATTTTACCTTTCTAATGTGAAGGATGTGCCGCTCTTCTCCACTACAGCAGCCACCGAGCTGGGGCTGGGAAGGAGGGCCGTCTCTTCCCGGCAGCTGCAGCCAGGGTCGGCTCTACCATTTTTGCCGCCCCAAGCAAAAAAAAAAAAAAGGCACTCGGACTAACACCTGATCTGCCAAAGCAAAAAAAAAGCTGCTCGGACTACTGTCTGGCCCCAAGAATGGACGGAATGCTGCCCCTTAATATGTGCCACCCCAGGCATGTGCTTCCTCCGCTGGTGCCTGGAGCCAGCCCTTGCTGCAGCCCTGGAGTTGGGGAAAGTCACCTCTTTCTCTGGCCACCGCTCCCTGCACATCCCAAATTCCCTCCACCCCCTCTTCTCACCCCACTGCCCCCTCCCACCTACCCCCTATTCCACCCAAGGCCACCACTTCACCTTACATGTGCGTCTTCTCCAGGGTTTAGGCACCTAATTAGTGGAGCTACGCCTGCGCAGCTCCACTAATTAGGTGGGTGGCCCTTCATTCTCTTGTGTACAGCCACCTAGGTGCGCATCTTAGAGGGAACTATCCGCGGACCACCTGAATGGAGCGTGCGGATCACTGGTGGTCCATGGACCACATTTTGAGAACCTCTGGCCGAGAGCATTTCTTTTAGCTTGCATTATAAACCTTTGAAGATAGGGGTTTATGAAGGAAATAAATGCTTAGATGATGATGAGTACTTAACGAGGCATGAATTGCACTGCTGCAAAATGGCAGCCAGGTGCTTCCAGCTGATTTCCGTAAGATGTTCCATATATTGTGTGTGTGCATGTGATGGCTTCACACAATGTAAGAAACAGAACTCTAAGGTATGGAGACTACTGAGACAGAGTTCTTTTGCTGGGAATTAATCACAGAGAGTGAGAGTAAAGGCTTTCAATTTCTTCAATTTCTCCGGGCCTTTAAAGGATTTGAAGCCCCTAGAAAATTCTGAGTTTCAAGGACCAACATATGCTCCATATTTCATAGACTGTTTCACATTTTTGATCTATGATACTCCATATATATTTAAAAATAAGAGTTAACTCTTACCCACAGAATGATAGTTCTCAGCTTTTGGACTTATCTGAGCAAGAATCTCTAGGAAACCATGTATACTGGGGAGAAATCATATAATGGACGTGCTTTTTAACCATGCAGTGAAACTGGTTCATCCCAAAACAGTGTGAATACTGTGTGCCTGGACAGTTGCTAAACTATTTCATAAAGACTACTACTAGACTATTCTCTGAAACATATGTTTTAAACATCATTTAAAAATAGTTTGGTCCCATCCACATTTGCCAGGCAAATGGTTTGCAACAACAACTTTTAAACAATATTTTAAAATAGTTTCTTCTAAACATGAAGTTGCGGCTTCAATTATACAATTGGAGATTACAGTTCTGGCAGTTCCAGCTCTGGTAGTAGGAAAAATGGAGCGCAATAGACATGATGATTCTGTTCTATTCTACACAAGTTCTTAAACCACGCTCATCACTGTACTATCTGAGCACCTCTCAAAAGTGTTTTAAGTAATATTACTGTGATGGGTTGGGTCACAGAAACCCCCTTGGGAACTGTCACCTGATGTGCTGAGACTACCTCTGAGCCTGTTTTCCCTGGCAGCTTGGGACTTCAGTACCTTGCCTGGTTGTGTCAGAAATGCTAGCCTGCTACAAACACAGACCCAGGTATGAACCACATCCCCCAGAAGCTGCAGGCTTAACTGAAAACAGCTTAAGAAGTGGTCCTGTCGCCAACACCCAGATACCCAGTTCCAAATGGGATCCAAACCCCAAATAAATCCATTTTACTCTATAAAGCTTATATGGGGTAAACTCATAAATTGTTCGCCATCTATAACACTAACAGATATGCACAGCTGTTTGCTCCTCCAGGAATTAATTGCTTGACCTGGGTTAATTAATAAGTAAAAAGTGATTTTATTAAATATAAAAAGGAAGATTTAAGTGGTTCCAAGTAATAACAGACAGAACAAAGTATGCTACCAAGCAAAATAAAATAAAACACGCAAATCTAAGCCTAATACAGTAAGAAACTAAATGCAGGTAAATCTCACCCTCAGAGATGTTCCAATAAGTTTTTTTACAGACAAACTTCCTCCTAGTCTGGGTCCAGCAATCATTCACTCCCCTGTACTTACTGTCCTTTGTTCCAGTTTCTTTCAGGCATCTCTTTGGGGTGGAGAGGCTATCTTTTGTGCCAGCTGAATACAAAATGGAGGGGTTTCCCAGGGCCTTCTATAGTATCTCTTGTGGGTAGAAACTCCTTGTGTTTTCCTATGCAGAATCACAGCTACAAGATGGAGTTTTGGAGTCACATGGGCAAGCCACATGTCTATGCATGACTCTTTGCAGGCCAATGCCATTGCTTACATGTTAGTTTGAACTTTCCCAGGAAAGCTCAGATGTGGACTAGCATCTCTCAAAGTCCATTGTCAGCTTAAGTATTTCTTGATTGGGCACTTACTGAGAATAGTCTTTTCTCAAGAAGCCGACCAAATGCTTCACTGAGGCTACTTAAAATCAAACAAGTACATAGCCAATATTCATAACTTCGAATAAAAAAATGATACACACCTACAGACAGCATAAGTATAACCAGCAAACTACAACCTTTCTTTAGACACCCCACTTGGCCTCCTCTGTACAAGATTGTACAGGTGCAACAATGATCGATACGGTCACAGTTCCTGTCAATAACATCACAATTACTAACATCTGTCACTAGTAGAACTCTTTCTACTTTGTGTCCCTGGGGGAAAAGTTACATGAGATTAAAAATATATGCATACATGTTTATTTCTTGTGTGCTGTGCTATGTTTTTATTATTTGAAAGCAAGGTCAAAGAGGTGCACCTTGTATTTGAAAATAAAAAGGGTGAAGTTTGTGGTGGCAAATTAGGGTAAATAATGATACTTTGCATTTATATAGGACTTTTCATCCATAGATCTCATGATGATTTAATTAAATAGAGATGGATTTAGCTAAACAGAGTCATAGTCTTCAACCCTGCAAGCCTGGAAATATTGCAGCAATTGTCTGAAGGACAAACATGTCGAGGATGCCATTGTCCTAGAGTAGGGCTGAGAGGGGCTGGTGACAATATGTAACAAATTATAAATGGTATTTAACATATTTTAAAATAGAATGGGTCAGCTCAATGGTGCTAATCATGGAGTAAAGGTGCTTCTCAGTCTGAGTAAGGGTATCAGATTCTGGTCCAGGATGATTGTATTTTCATTGTCAAATCATCATCTTTGTGCCTCATCACTCTTCATTTGTCCCACAATTTAGGAGCTTAAGTTCCACATTTGGAAGATATCCATTGAGTGATGGTCTGATCAGACAGTCTTTGCTCTTGAGAGCAGTCCCATTGTGTGAGTAGAACTACAGGACTGGGCTCTTAGAGAGGTGTGTTGGTGGAGGCTGTTGTTGAAATTTTACTCTCCTCTACCTTTTGGACAAGTTTTTTGTAAAGACAATTGTCCGCATAAGCTGGAGGCTTCTGCGTCCAACAGAATCTGTTGAAATTCTGTAACAATTCTGTTAAAATATTGTCAAAATATTTTCTAGCTTTCCCCAAATCTTGATAAGGTAGGTAAGGAAACAAAGATAGGGAAACAAAGGCAGAATTTTTAAATAACTCAAGCCAGGCTACAGAGAGAGTCAATGTTAGAACTGGGGTTAGAATGCAGGAATCTCTTGTCAGTCTTGTGTTTAGTTCGCTGTGCTATTTGGATACCATTCCAAGTCCTTGGAGGTCACAGTGTCTTCTCAGCAGAGCAACCTGCTAAGCTGCAAGCAGGTGACTCTGAGGGAGCTTGCAGAAGTCCTAGGATCACCAGTGGCCGGCTAGAACCTAAGGGCCATCACTACTACTACTGGCACAAACTGATCCAGACTTCTCCTGAACATCAAGCCTGGGTTTCCATTGAGCCCAAAGGACAAGTAGGAACTGTTGCCTGTAGTAGGGATTATAAATGGCTTTTTATTCCTTGGTTAAATCAGTGACAAACTTCCAATATTAATGATCAATTTACATTTCCAAGAATATCTTCACAAGGAATAGTGCTAGAAACTAATTTTTTTTGTTATTTAAAGATGAAAATAGTTTTATTACTGGTATTTCTAAATTACTCAAATTATGAGGATCTGTGGGATTTATGGGGCCATGAGGCCAGGTTAATTGATTTAAATGGAGTGGGCCCTTCCCTTTTTTACTGTGTATGTGGCTACATAGCATATTTCTTTGGCTTTTAAATCAATAGTTCTTTTAGTTTGATGCAAAATCCACCATGCGACTTGCTCTCTAGCAGTTCCTTCTTTCACTTGCCTCCCCCTCTCTCTTTGTATAATAGGCTGGTTAGCTTAAGCTCTCAAACCTCCCGTGGGAATCTGTCTGGAACAACAGGCTCTCTTTGCATACATGCTTCCTTTCATTTCCCCATCTGAAATTGAATGATATATTTTTTCCTCAGAATCTTCTGATGTTGTTCTTTGAGACTCAGTTTGTCAAAATCACACATTAGCAAAGATTTTGACTAGTACAATTGCATTTTTAGATGCTTACTAGCCTTGGCAACATTTACAAAAAGAAAAAAAAGACAGAAATCAAGTGTACTGATCAACACAAATATACACAATATCTGAAAGGCAAATAATTATGTTGTTGCTATAGTGGCAAGTGTTTTCAATTCCTTTTGTGTTAATCAACTT